TGCGATTGGCACAGGACAGAGCGGAGTTTAGGGCTGTTGTACATAGGGTCGCTATGAGTCACAAGCAACTCGACGGCACATAACAACAACATTGTTAAATTTATATAAAATTAAGTGTATGAAAAAGTTCTCTATGGTAATATTTGTATTTACTGAGAAAACAAACAAAAATTAAAAGTGAAGTAATTCACAAAGTGATGTCTCAATTACTTTGAAATACTAATACATAGTGATACAGATCCTTCCAATCAATATTAGTCCTTAGAGGCAAGGATTTTGAAACTCAGTCTCACTTGCTTTGGGCATGTGGCCAGGAGAGCCCAGTCCTTGGAGAATGACATCATGTTTAGAAAGGTGGAAGGACAAAGAGAAGATGACCCTGGCTGAATTGGGTTGACAGACAATAACTGGTGCAAAGGGTTAGGTATGTTGTATTCAGTGAGATTGACTCAGGATATGGCAGTATTCAGAGCTATTGTGCATAGAGTCACTATGAGTTGTATTCAACTCAACAGCACATAACAACAATCAATATGAATGTGACTAAATCTCAATGGTTCAGTGAGACTATAAAGTGTATCTTACCTGGATAAAATCTATATCTTTATTGTTGCTCTCAACTTCAATCAATGCCTTGCATTCCTGCATAAGGTTTTGGCTCTGCTTACTTTTCATTTCCCAAGAAGAGGCCTATAGCAAAGTGTTAAGAAGAAGAACAAAAATACACCGTATTATAGCTGTCAATAACATATGTTATGCCAAGTTCATTTTCTCTGGCATCACACTCTAGTAACTACAAACTTTGGTATAGTTACACAGAGAAAATTTAATTTCAGAATTTTGCCCTCAAGAAGTATATTCTCCAACAGGGTAAAAAGGGAAGTCACAGACTGGGAAAAAATATTTGGTAATGACATGTCAGACAAGGGACTTATAGCCAGAATTTATAAAATACTCAAGCACTACAACAAGACAAAAGTAAACAACCCAATTGAAAATATGAACATACGCTTCATCAAAGATGACATTCAGATGGCACACAAACACATGAAGAAATGTTCAAAACCCCTAGCTCTAAGAGAGATGTGAATCAAAACAGCTATGAGATATCATCTCAGCCCAGTAAGAATAGCAAAATTTAACAGAACAGCAAACATCAAATGCTAGTGAGGTTGCAGAGAAACTAGAACACTTATTCACTGTTGGTGGGAGTGTAAAGTGGTGCAACCATTATGGAAGGCAGCATGGCGCTTTTTCATAAAGTTGCAAATAGAAATATCATTTGACCCAGCAATTCCCCTACTGGGAATATACCCTAAAGAAACCATAACTGCCACCCAAACAGATATATGCACACCCATGTTTATCTTGGCTTTGTTCACAATAGTAAAGAGTTAGAAACAACTAAGTGCCCTTCAACAAACGAATGGATAAGAGAAGCTGTGGTATATTCACACAATGGAATACTATGCAGCACTGAGAAACAAGGAATTAATGAAATATTATACAAAATGGCTAACCCTAGAGGACATTATGCTGAGTATAATATCTTAGTCACAAAAGGACAAATATTGCATAATGCAACTGTTGTAAAACGGAACTGACATCAGGGTTGAGAGAAGATTGAGAAAGAGGGGATAAATAATGTATACTGTATTGAAACATATGGGGGAGAGAACTGTTTAAAAGGGATATATGATTAGGTATTGTTGTCATGACAGGAGTCCAGAATGAAGACTGAACAGTGGAGTAGACTTGGGGGAGGAACTGTATAATAGTGAGAGAAATTTGTTTTTACTTTTTAAAAAGAAGAGAGAACTTGGAGGGAGGGGCGGACAGGAAGAAAAGTGCAAGAATGAATGAACGGAAATCCAAAGTCTCTGTAAACTTTCATTAAAATTAATAATAATAAAAAGGAAGTATATGATTCAAATAAATATATATAAAGGTTAAGCAACAATACACAATAATAAAAGAGAATGTCATAAAGAAAATAAAATATGAAACGAGTGGTAGAACTAAGGAGACTCAACAATAAACTAGAGCCTTTAGAATTTTACAAAAGATTTGCATGAATTATTATCCATACATTAATCTCTCATATGTATCTATACATTCTTAAGGTGTATGTAGGTGTTGCTTGGGAGAATAAAAAAATGCATTCATTTCAAAATACTGTTTTACTACTTAGCCCTAAGGCAATGACACACCTATTATCATTTATGATATCTCAGTAATTGTAACATTTTTTACCAAAAAGTAAATCTCATATTTGAAAAGGTAGAGAAAATTTGAGACATAACATTTATAACACACAGAAAGGTCTCAATTGATTTGAATGCCTATGGGTAGACTTACAGATTCTTAAAGGGCAGAGACTGTATCTTATTTGTCTTCAAGTCCCTAACATTTAGCCCTAAATAACTGTTTAATATGTACTCTAATTTAAATGAATTAACAAAGGTCCTGGAGAGAAAATTAAGAGGAATTAAAATTTGTATAGGTAGGAAAAAATAAGTAAGTTAATCTTTTTCTTTTCAAGTAAATTAATCTTATTGGGAGCTATATTTTCAGAAAATGAGTGGAAAATGACTTAATATTAAAAAGGCATAAGACCTTCTAGAAAGGCAGACTATTTTATTAACAGTTATCTAGAAGAATAGTCAACTAATTACCTGTTAATAGAGAAGAACATAGCATATGCAAACTAAAACACCAGCTAAAACTAGAGCCACTACTATAAAGTCTCTGCACGTCATGATAAGAATTTCCCAGAACACATCTGTCTTCAAGATCTATGTCCTGCTGGTTAAAGAACTCAGCTGCTAATCAAAGGTCAGTTGTTCCAACTCACCATTCATGCTGCCAAAGAAAGATGAAAATATATGCTTCTACGAAGACTTAGAGCTTTGGAAACCCTGTGGACCAATTCTACTCTATCCTACAGAGTATCTATGAGCTGGAATCAACTTGATGGCAGTGAGTTTGTTTGGGTCCATGATACTTAGCCTAATTGTAACCTTAATTGTATATCTTGTACCTCTTCTGTCTTAGTGCAGTAATGCCTACTGTTACAAGACAGAATGTTAGAAATGTACAACAATAATCCTAGGTAACCAAAAACTATTTCAATTACAGTTTCAGATTTGATTAAGTTCATTTTCCAAATTCATATATGGATTTTTTGTGGTTTTTACACTTCACTTCTAAATTTTCTTAAGCAGAAATTGTCTCAGGTAAAGTAATATTACCTATTTCAAGAGTTGATATAGATCTGTCTCTATTTTTTTTTCTCCTTCTAATCATATCAGATCTAAACTGGGTTTAGGCCTCCTCATTTCAGCAACATAAAAATCCCTCATTCCACAAGGAAATTCTCTACTACTCATAAGTCATTAAGTGAATAGACCCTTTCCTAGTTCTTCAGTCTCTCCACAAAATTTAGCTTCTCTGACCACCACTTATTGAATCATTCCTTTCCCCCTCTTGGCTGGTTTCTCCTCTTACTAGTCAGACAAGTTCTTTACAGTCGCCTATACACCATTATCTTCTGTATCTCGTAATGCAATACAGGATTTCCCTAGGTTTCTGTCTAGACATTTTCTTATTTCCCCTCAACCTCACTATGATATTGTTGTTGTTGTTGTTGTTATGTGCCGCCAACTCACCTGCGATTCATAGTGACTCTATGTACAACAACCCTAAACCCTGTTCTATCTTGTGCCAATCTTATTGTCTCTGATACACCTACCCCCATTACCCTAGTCACTGAATCAATCCATCTCACTGAAGGTCTTCCTCTCCTGCACTGTTCCTCCACCCTCCCAAGCATGTCCCTCTCCAAGGACTGATTCCTCCTTGCAACATGTCCAAAGTAGGTCACATGAAGCTTCAGAATCCTTGCCTCAAAGGAGCAGGCTGGCTCCACCTTCTCTAGGACAAACTTATTTGTTTTCTTAGTAGTCCATGGTATATTCAATACTCTTCTCCTGCACCACAGCTCAAAGGCATCAAGTCTCCTTCTATCATTCTTAGTCCTTGTCCAGCTTTCTGATGCACAGCAAGTAATTGCAAAGACCATGACCTATATCAGGTGTACTTTAGTCTCCAGACTGACATTGTTGCTCTTCAATACTTTGGAGGGATCTCTGACAGCAGACTTTCCCAATGCAATTAGTCTTTTAATTTCCTAGTTGCTGGTACCAAGAGTTGACTGTGGAACCAAGCAAACTAAAGCTCTTAACAATTTCAGTCTCTTCACCATCTATCATGATGCTGCCAAGCATTCCAGTGGTTGGAATCTTTGTTTTCTTGATGTTGAGCTTCAATCCATATTGAAAGCTGCAGTCCTTGACCTTCTACAGCAAGTGCTTTAGGTTCTCCTCAGTATCACAAAGCAAGGTTGTGTCATCTGTGTTGATGAGTCTTCCTCCAATCCTGATGTCACACTTATCCTCAAGAGCCCAGCCTCCTGGATGATCTGTTCCACATACAGGTTGAAAAGATATAGAGATAGGACACATTCTTGGCATACACCTTTCCCAATTTTAAACCATACAATATTTCCTTGCTCAGTTCTGATGACTGCCTCCTGGCCTAAGTATAGGTTTCATATAAGCACAATCTAGTGTTCTGGGATTCCCATTCTTCTCAGAGTCAGCCACAGTTTGTTGTGATCTACAAAGGGCTTTAATACCCACTGTCTTAGTTATCTATACTACTATAACTGAACTGCTATAACTGAAATGTTGTAAGTAGTTAGCTGTTACAAACAAAAATTTATTTTCTCATAGTTTAAGAGGCTAGAAGTCCAAATTTAGAGTGCCAGTTCTGGGAGAAGTTTTTCTCTCTCTTCATCGTTTCTAGAGCAAGTCTTTCTCTCTTTGAGCTTCTGCTCCTGAGGTTGGCATCTCTCTTCCCTGACCTCTACTTCTAGTGTGTGTTTCTCTCTTTTGACCTCAAAAAAGCTTGCCTCAATACAAGCCCTACTTTAATACTGTATCATTAACAAAGCAAAGACAACCCATTCCCAAATGCAATTATAATCAGATGCACAGACGTTAAGATTTTTAACAAATGTTCTTGGGAAACACACCCGTCCAAATGAAAATACTTCACAAGTTGGTCTCCAGTGTAAGCCTTGGCTCTGACATTCAGACTCATATGTTTGATGTCTTGCTTGACATACCCTCTTGCAAGTCTCACACTTACATAGAATGCATGCTCCTCCCTAACGAAGCCTGTCACCTTTGCAATTCCTAGCATTAGTGAACAGAATCACCACCCAACCTAGTTCAAGATACAGAAATCAGGTAGTCTTTCTTGCAATTTCTCTGCTTCACCCTCGAAATCCAATATACTATTAAGACCAGTGTTCTCTCCTTAAAGCAGACAAAAAAAAATAAAATAAACATTACTATCATCCTACTCCACACTTTAGTTATTCTTGAAGATACAACTATCATAACTACCTTAGTGCTCTCTGTTCACATCCTCTCTACTCTGTACTAACTTTTCTGCCAGTCTCAGCCTCAGGGATCTTTTCTAAAGAAACTGATCACACTACCAGCTGCCCGAAATCCTTTCCCAGCTTTCCTTTGTTTTTAGGACAAATGCAAAGTCCCATTTCGAACACTCTGGAACATACCCAGTTCTGGTGTCTCTGTTCCTCTAGCCCTTTCTACCTCTCTGCCCTGGCATTCTTAGCTCAGTTGTCTTAAGGTGTAGTGCTTTGCATTTATCCCACTCCTTTTTAGCATATGCTGTTGAAAATTCTTTCTTTCTGCTCACCAATTTAACTTGTATTCAATTGTAACAATTCAGTGATCTCCCCTGCCCCCAGAAAAGCATCCTTATCCTTCCAGATAACCAAATCTTTTCTTTAAGGTGCTCATGCTACATATGTATCTCTTTCATCTAATGGATCACTGTAGCCATTTACATTCTGTATAATTACTTGATTATCTCTATCCTAGATTGTTAGCTCAATAGAAACAGACATTATGTGATTTTGATCATCACTGAATGCTGGTAGCTAGAATATTCCATTATATCTAGATGATGTTCAGTATTTATTAAATATATGTACATACTGCCACAACTTGTTAGGACCCACACAGTCAAATGTTTTTGCATGGTCAATAAAGCACAAGTAGACATTCTTCTGGCATTCCTTACATTTAGCCAGGATCCATCTGACATGAGCACTGATATCCCTGGTGCCATGGCTTCTTCTAAATCTTGGTTGAACTTCTGGAAGTTCTCTATCTATGTACTGTTCTAGCCATTTTTTAGTGATCTTCAGCAGTATTTTGCTTGTATGTGATATTAATGATATTGCTCAATAGTTTCCACATTCAGTTGGATCACATTTCTTGGGAATGGGAACAAATTGTGGCTGACATTGGTAAGAATTGGAATCTCAGTGCACTTATCATGCAGAATCATGTAGAACTTATACCTGGACCAGGAGGCTATTGTGTGTGTGAACAGAGCAGGGGGAAACGGCATAGTTTAAAATTTAGAAGGGAGTGTGCCAGGTTTGTATTCTCTCTCCATACCTATTCAGTCTGTATACTGAGCAAACCATCCGAGAAGCTGGATGGACTCTATAAAGAGGAGTGTGGCATTAGGATTGGAGGAAGACTCATCAGCAACCCATTATGCAGATGACACAACCTTGCTTGATGAAAGTAAGGACAACTTGAAGTACTTGTTGCAGAAGATGAAGGAACAGAACCTTCAGTATGGATTGCATCTCAATGTCAAGAAGACACAAATTCTTACCACTGGACTGATAGGCAGCGTCATAATGGATGGAGAGGAGATTGAAATTGTCAATAGCTTTATATTGCTTGGATCCACAATTAACACCCTTAGTACCAGCAGTCAAGAAATAAAGAAACACATTGCACTGGGAAAATCTGCAGTTAGGAACCTCTCCAAATTATTGAGGAATTAATGATGTCTTTGGGGACTAAGTTTGAGGACTAAGGTGCATTTGCTATAGGCCATGGTCTTTCAAATTACTTGCTTTACATTGGAGAGCTTGACAATGAATTAGGATGGCAGAAAAAGAATTGATGCCTTTGAGCTGTGGTGTTGGATAAGAACACTGAACATCCATTGATGGCCAAGAGAATAAACAAGATATGTCTTGGAGTGATCTTTGGAGGCAGGACTGATGAGGCTTTACCTCACATACTTTGGACATACTGCTAAGAGGTGCCATGCCTTGGAGAAGAATGTGATGCTCAGAAGGGGAGAAGGGTGGCAAAGGAGAGGAAGATCCTCAACCAAGTGGATTGATATTGTGACTACCATGTGACAAGATGTGTAAGGAGGGCAAAGGGTTCAGATCTTCTGTTAATAGGGTCACTATGAGTTGTGCTTGACTTGATGGCTCCTAACAACAACAACATGTACAAATTCATAATGAATGCTAAATTAAATGTTATCTCAAGATCTAAGTCTAAGATGTATTGTCCTGACACATGGAAACACTCTATGCTGGGCATTTGTAGTTTTAGGGCATGTAATATTCCCACAAAATAAACAAACTAAACACAAATCTTGAAACTGCATAACTATTGAGCTTTTTCTAGGAATCAGAGTGAGTAGGACTTTGACTATGAAGTGATAAAGTTGCTTTACATAGTTCAAACATGCAATACTTCGAACATAGCATTGAATAACTATCTGCTGAATGTAGGAATTTACACATTCAAATATGATATGATATTCACAGTAACAGAAAAATTGAAAGCCTGTAGTAGTTGTAGATAGATTCAGCTTGGTTTGTAGAGAGTAAAGAGAAGACAGAGGGCCAATATGTCAAAAATTTGGGGATCTGGATTTCAAATAATGAGGCTTGTTAGCACTGCAGCTAAATACTTAGTGGCTACATGAAAGGTTCATAGATTAAGACTCAGCAGCTGCTCCAGAGGAGAAAGATAGAACAGTACTTCCACAAAGATTGTTGTTACTGTTATATGCCATCGAGTCAGAACTGATGCAAAGCTGACCTTCCAGGGTGTTTTCAGAGGCTGTAAACTGGACAGGAGGAGGCAGACTGCCCATCTTTCTTTCTCAGAGCTGCAGATGGATTCACGCTACCACTTCTGCATTGTCAGTGCAACTTTTACCCAGTAGGTTACCAGTACTAGTTTGGCACTCCTAGGGTGAAGTTCTACTCTATTTCATAGGCTTCCTTAAGTGGAATTAGTTACACAGAAAATATTTAGTTTGGTTTAAATTTTAAGTGTTTTAAGAGGATAAGATGATCAGCAAACAGAAGGGGACAAAAAGGCTGCCTGAGGAGGTAATGAAGGTCCCATCAGTCATTTTCAAGCAGAGATGAACACCATATTACAAAATGTCCATTTCTGAAATGTAACCTTTGTTCAAAATAATTTCTTTTGAAAGATTCACACCTAAAATATCTTCTATCTTATGAAGATTCAATAGGATTTTTGTTGATCAAACTATTTATTGCTTTCAGAGCCTATGGAAATTCATTTTCTAGTGTCTCTTTAAAGATGAATTTAACTGTTGGAAATAATAAAAAAAGCCATTGTTGTGTACCACTGAGCTGGAACTGATTCATAGCTAATCCCCCAGTATGTTGTTAGAATCATGAGAGGGGATGGCCCATCTTTTCCCCACAGATTAGTCGGTGGATTTCAGTCACGTTTCTTTGAGTTGGTAGCACAATTCTTTTCCACTAAGACACTAGAACTTTACAAAAAGTTTTTACAAATAAAATTTTATGAGCAACGTTGATAAAGTAAGCAGTAAGATTTTGGCTTATAAAAGGTATGCACTGATGTAAAATGCTGTCTATAGTCACTTGACATAATATCTGACACCTGACAAATATTCAATTGTAAGGATGACGAAGATGTTGAAAAGCTATCTGAAGGCCAAATCTCAAAAATAAATTGAACCAGGGTAATGTAACAGTGAATGCCAACTAATGAATGGTTGCTATGAGTCAGACTTGACTCAATGGAGTGAGTTTATCTTTTTTGGTAACAATGAGTGCGTAATGATTTATTTAAACAGAAACAAATTGATTTGAATACATGGAAATTTTAGGGTTGTATATTTATTAAAGCCAGTATAAGTTGTTGTAATTGATCTTTTCTCCATTTTACTAAGGCTTAAGAGTTCAAGGATATATACCTATCTACATTTTGACTATGGATTTTTTCCTATAAAACACTGAATGCAAAATCTGAAAGGTTGTACTATTATTTTGCTCTTTAAACCACAATTATTTTTACAAAAAGGGATTTTTCAGGGGGACTTCAATTTTCTGATTGTCTAGTCCTAACGGCATTCATTTGAATCCACTATAAGCTCCTCAGGAGAAAAATGGACAATTTCCTACAATGGGACTTAACAGTCTTGGAAACCTAATGCAAGGTCAGCCAGGAGTTGGTTATCACTTGACTGTAATGATGGGTATTTTTTAAATTCCCAATTGGTTTTAGTTTTCCACTAACTGTGCTATTAGCAATCTGACTTTGCTCCAAACAAGAAAATGGGGGGGGGGGGAGAAATGGGACCTTGTTCAGGAAACACAGACTGCAGTTTATAGTCTATAATTAAAGTGCTTCAAAAATGTGAAAATGAAGCAAAACCTTTACCAAAAGCTATTTCTAGAACAAAAGAATTATTATACATTTTTTTGAAGAAAAAAGAAAAATAGACCTGGAATCTCTCAACTGGTTTGACATTTTCTGGTGGGACTTCTGCACGCCCCCACTGCTGAGGCTTCATTTTCTTCCTCCTAGTCGTCTTCACAGCTTTAGTCTCAGAAATGAACTCTATATCAGAGTCTGATCCTTCAGACTCTGTGCTTCTTTTCCTGTTTATATGGCTGACCAACAGATGAGATTCGTGCTTTAAGTCACCACCCAAAGGCCTGACTTTCTGTGTTTTGGCATTTTCCTTAAATAACAAATAATAACAAGTCATTACTTTACGGTAGCTAGTTTACTTACAATTAATTACTACTTAATTAATTACAAATTTATAACATTAGGTTCTATTTCTTATTAGCAACAAAAGATTTAAAATCAGAAGCTTAGAAAATAAATGGTAATAAAGTTACATCATAATTATGGCTCATTAAGAATGTGCTTTAGGAAGAGCTGCAGAGCTGCTCTGGTGGCGTTGTATGCAGGGAGTCACACGTCTTATCTGAAAGTGATGCCTCTCTGCAGGCTCAAAGCCACCAGCTGCTGAAAGATAGGAAAATCCCTTCCATGCCATTTAACAGCCTCTGAAAACCTTTTAGAAGGTCAGCTATGAGTCAGTTCTAATCCCATGGCAATAAGTTTTTTGAGCTGCAGAGCTGGGTTGAGTCAGAAAATCTTCTAATTATGAAGATGTATAAAACCCCATCTTGACATTGTCTCTCACAGAGCCTGGTTTGCCTTTCGTTCCGAGGGTCAAGGACTGCAGCCTCCAATATGGATTGAGGCTCAATGTCAAGAAGACAAAGATTCTCACCACTGGGCCAATTGGCAGCATCAGGATGGATGGTGAAGAGATTAAGATTATTCACAGCTTTAGTTTGCTTGGCTCCACAGTCAACACTCTCGGCACCAGCAGCCAGGAAATTAGAAGACATGTTGCCATGGGAAAGTCTGCTGTTAGGGAGCTCTCCAGAGTACTGAAGAGCATTGTATCTCTTTGGAGACTAAGGTATGTCTGATACAGGCCATGGTCTTTGCTATCACTTGTTATGCATCAGAGAGCTGGACAATGACTAAGGAGTATAGAAGGAGAACTGATGCCTTTGAGCTGCGGTGCTGGAGAAGAGTATTGAGGGTACCATGGACTGCTAGGAAAACAAACAGATTCATCCCAGAAAGGGTCAAACCGGGCTGCTCCTTGGAGGCAAGGATTCTAAAGCTCTGTCTAACATACTTTGGACATGTTGCAAGGAGGGACAGGTCCTTGGAGAGGGACATCATGCTTGGTAGGATGGAGGGACAGCGTAGAAGAGGAAGGCCCTCTATGAGGTGGATTGATTCAGTGACTGGGGTAATCGGGATGGGTGTGTCAGAGACGGTGTGATTGGCACAGGACAGAGCAGAGTTTAGGAATGTTGTACATAGGGTCGCTATGAGTCGCAAGCGACTCGATGGCACATAACAACAACAACAATACTGGGCTTGTCCTTCTCATCCCTTGCTGGTTGTTATGTCAGCCAAAAACTCAAAAGGCTCAAACTGCTCAAGTCAGTTCTGACTCACAGTGACTTTCCATCAGGTTTCTGAGGCTGTAAATCAAAGTGAGAGGAGATTGCCCATCTTTCTCCCACAGAGCTGTTGGTTATTTGAATCTTTGGAGATGTGCATCCACTTGCTTTAACAGAGAAACTTGATACAGACTGTACCACCATACTTCCCTTTACTTTAACCAAACAAAGCTATTACTTGCTAAGAAAATGAGCATACTAGTGCCTGCTGGTCAGAATCTATGGTTAAGTAAAAGAATGGTGCATGTAAAATAACATACTAGGTAAATCTCTATACTTATAATCTAAAATATGTTTCCCATAAGAAAACAAACAAACAAAAAAGCAATTATAACAAGAGGATTTTGAAGTGTTGAGTGACCCCATAGTACTCCTTAATCCATCTTATTATAGAGAATATTAGTCTTTGCTCAGTGAAATTTGTCCACCTTAACAGTGTTGAAGGCACGTGAAATTATTTGGCTCCTTTTTTTTTTTCTTTCCATATAAACCACCATACTTCGATAAACTTGTATTACAGTTCTGTATACTATGCCTGCAGTGGCACTGAAAAATTTCAAGAAGTACCATATAAACAAGAATCAAAGGTAACAAAGGAAGAAATTCAAGCTGCTTTAAAGACACTGGCAAAAATAAGGCCCTAGGAATAAATAAGGTATCAACTGACATGTTTCAGCTAACAGATAAAGCCCTTGACATGCTCACTAGTATATGGCAGGAAATTTGAAGGACAGCTGCTTGGACGACTGACTGGAAGAGTTCTATATATGTTCTCATTTCCAAGAAAGATAATCCAACAGGATGTGGAAATTATTGAGCAATATCATTACTATAACATACAAGCAAAATATTGCTGAATATTATCCAGAACCAGCTAGAACATTGATTGACTGGAAAATGCCAGAAGTTCAAGTAGAGTTTAGAAGAGGTCATGGCACCATTGCTGATGTCAGATAGTCCTGGATGAAAGCAGAGAATACTAGAAGAATATCATCTGTGTTTGGGTTTTTTATTTTTTTTTCTTTAGTATGTAGACATATGATTGCGTGGATCACAACAAACTATGTCTAACACTGAGAAGAATGGGAATCCTAGAACACTTAATTATAAAATGGTGCAAGCACTATGAAAGACAGTCTGCTGCTTCCTCAAAAAATTTGAAAATAGAAATATTATTTGATCCAGCTATTTCACCACTAAGAATATACCCTAAAGAAATTCGAGCTGTAACACAGATGTATGCAATCCCATATTTATTGCAGCAATACTCACAATCACAAAACAATGGAAGCAACTCAAGAGCCCATCAACAAATAAATGAATAGAGAAACGGTGGTACATTGACCCAATTGAATATTTTGTAGAATTGAAAAACAATGAACTCATGAAACAATCAAAACATAGGTAACTATTGAAGATGTTATGTGGAGGGAAATATCTCACTCATAAAATGACAAATACTACATAAGACCACTGTTAAAAAAAATACGATGGTTAAAAGGAAGAAGGGGCTTCAAGTGTAGAAAAAGAATAGATAGATAATTCCTGTCCTGGAACAGGTGAAGGGAAGATCAATCTGAAATGAATAAACAAACAGTTATTAGGTGTATTGTAACTAACAATCTGGAACAGAATATACACTCTGAATTAAATACGATGGGAAGGGGGAAGAAAGAAAAAGGGGGAAATAGGTATGTGGGTGGAGGTACATAATGCAGGTTTGCTTTAACATTATAAAAAGCTAATTGCAACAATCAGTGGTAATTAATGCCTATACATTTCTGATTTCTGAAAAAAAAAATAATGTGATTTTTAAACTTTCACCTTTCAGTCAAATTTAAAAAAATAATGCATTTCATTGGGAAAAATCTATTGTCAAGGACCTCAAACCAAGTGCAAAAGAGCAATGATGTCAGTTTAAAGACATGACCCAAGTATTTTCAATTACTTTCTATGTATCTGAAAGCTGAACAATGAATTAAAATGACAGAAGAATTGATGCTTTTGAACTGGGTATCCCATGGACTGCCAAAAGAACAAACAAGTCTGCTTTAGAGAAGTGAAGACTAAGTGTTTCTTAGTGGTAAGGATGTTGTTAGGTGGGGCCAGCCTTTGAAATAAGACAGCATGCTGGGAAAAGTAGAGGGTCAGCAGAAGAGAGGAAGGAGAGTGGCTGTTACAATGGCTCAAGGATCAGAGATGATGAGAATGGCATAGATAGGGATTGGTACAGAGCTGTTGTTCATAGGGTTACTGTGAGTCATAATCGACTCAATGTCACATAAAAGCAAGGGCAATATTAAGATAAAACAATGATGGCAGAATTACTATTACACTACTTTCTGAACTTCATAACTATTATGACCTTTAGCCCTTGATACGACACCTCCACGTGACTCTGAAAATAACAGATCCATTATACTTTTTAATTACTGACCTTATGTGCTGAAGTTTCTGAAGTCTGGCTGGTGGTAGTGAACTCAGAGATCCTATCAGGGGGTATAAATTGAGGCTTTTGTAACAAAAAAGAAAAAAGAGCAAGTATAAGTAAAAACAACTTTCAATTGGCTTTTTAAAATAATTCAATAGTTATTTCTTAGAGATACCAACACAGCATACTCTCACCAACAACTATTTTAGAGGTCTCCTTAAGTTTAGAAATGCTGCAATCATGTTCTACCTATTAGAGCAACTGGACAGTGATAAGAGAAGGCAATCCATTTAATTACAGAATATACATTGTGGACAACTTTAGAGTGCCCTGTGACAAACTCTGTGCACTTTCCATCTGCTATAGTCCTTTGAGAACTTTGTGCCCCACCTTGAGGCAGGCCTCAAAGTGTGTTTACATTTTGGCCTCAGCAACAGCTCTGTCTAGTTCAGAAGGCTGGCCCTGAGTCCTGTGAACTCTGAAAGATGACACTGTGTCTCTGAGCAAAAGTGCAGCTGCTCTCCTTGAACATGTTCTACAAAAGAACCTTTTTTAAGCTCTTGTGTTGTTATGGTAAGTTGTTATATTCTTATTTTTGTTAAGCTACAGTAATGTCATATTAAATGTATGGAAACAGAATAGATAGAAATAAGATTATCTATTCTGTTTCATGTAGATAAAGCAAACATAACTGCGTTTTGCTCTTCTCTGTTGTGTTAGTGATCACCATGGTAGCTCACACTTAATTTAACACTCTTAGTCTTCTAAATCTTTAGACAGTATCCTTACGTTTCCTACTCTGAACAGTCACAAATGTGTCTAATGGCTCTACATTTATCATAATGGTCAATATTCCTAATGTGCAGTCACCAACCATCTGTTGGGGAGGTTTGCATGTTACTTGAAGCTGAACTGAATCTGAAGAGATTCAGACTAAGTTGGACAAAAAAAGGTCTAGTGAACTGCTTCTGAAAATCAGACAATAAAAAGCATATGGGTTACAATAGTTTGATCTCCAATGGATATAAGGACACCACCATCCCATGTGCTCCATTGAATTCCATTGTACACAGTCATGTGGAGTCAGGGGTTAGGTATCTCAATAGCAGCTAACAACAAAAATTATTCTTAAACTGCTATTATTTGATTTGTCAGCTTAAATATCCTTCTTGATCTCCTCTTGTAGCTAAAACTAATAACTACTTTTAGATCTCTTTTTTTGTTAGTTGATACAGTTCTACCTTTCTAGTGTATTTATATTCAGTTTAATATTTAATGCTCATGTGTTGTCTTAGTTCTATACCTAAATACAGACAATACTCACCATCAATCTTTTGTCACAGTATTTTCAGGTACCTTTGACTTGAGTTAAATCTGATCCTTACTAATTTCCTCAAAATGAGATCATGACAACATTACTGCTTGTATCTTTTTCTATGATTAATATTTATTATCTGTAACCTTTCTATCTGAAAGGCAGTTTGACTGAGTATCCTTAGTTCACATTTTGTTTCCTTGAAGATCTTATAGTTCTTACTTCAGCATGACCTGGAACAAAGGATGGTCTAGAGAAATCTGAAATGGATCTGAATTGCCCTTTCTTCTTCTTCTTTTTTTTTTTTTAGGTAGGTTGTTCATTTTATTCACAAAATAATATATTCATTTTAAGTATTGCTTATTTAACTGATTCTGTTATTGCCAAAACAAAAAGTAAATACACGTACCTGTATTAACCATATATAAAATTATTACTTCTATCTCCTTATCTCCTAACCCTTGAAGTA